TTAAGGCCAGCTGAGTTGTATTTTCACCACTGGCTTTGGTTGTATTATGAGGATTGAACCTTGGTTTGTAAAAATCTTTCAAACCAGGTTACGAAAATGGAATTTAGTTTAACTCTATCTGTGTCTTTTCTTCTTTAAAAAGGAAGAAAAAATTCTGTTTTTTTTTTTTTACAGGTTTTTCAAATGGTCACCAACCATGAAATAAATTTAATTGAGTGTGTTTTTTTTATAATTTGTTATTTGTATTTTGTGCTTGGAAAGTGAATGTTTATAATTTAGTTAATAAAAGTAAATGTTTCAAAATGTCTCCCCACAGTCACAGTGTACTTATTTCTCAGCCTGTGACACAGCGAGAAGGATGTGACACAGTGAGAAGGAAGCATGGCCCAGGCTGTGATCTGGCCAGGGATGCTTCTTCACCCAATTCACATCAGGAGAAAGTGATCAAATTGGGACTGTGGAACGTTCTGTGATTCTTGAATAAGGATACAGTAGGGGTTAGGAGAATCAGGAAAACTTGAATAGCAACAGTGTGTTAAATAAGATTTTTGTACCATAGAGTTACCAGCAGCCAAGCCAGGGAAACTGCCTGGGTCTTGGGTGACTGGACTCAACTGCCCACTTGCATAAGAAACAAGCAAACTCTGTAAAAAGGAAAAATGAATTTGATGCAGTTTCGTCCAGTTGGAGAGAAGCAGCTAGATTGTTTCTCTGCCTGTTCTATAGAAGTGGTTATAATTTACATAAATAAAATGCAGGAGATACACATGTTGGATTTAGCTAGCTGTGCTAGCCAGAAAACGTTGTCACTTTCAGGTTCCTTCTTACCTGGAAGGGACAAGGGGTGGTTTCTCAGTTTCCACTTGCACCATAAGGAAGTTTGGAATGTAGAAGAGCAGTTAATAGGAAGTTGCCTTTAATTTTAAAGGGCTCTGTTTCAATAGTAATATTTCTTAGGCATGAAATTTTTATGTGGGAAAAATGTCCATATATTTGGGAGATATTTAAGGGTGAAGAGTCGTGATGTCTGTAACTTACTTTCAAAAAAAAATTGTGTGTGTGTGTGCATGTGTTTGTACACATGTGTAGGGAACAAACATGGCAAAATGTTCTTTGCCCTTTCCTATAGATTTATAAACTACTTAAAATAGTTTATAAATCTATAGGCCTAAGTTGAAAATGCTACTTTATTGATCAATATGCTTATTAAATTAGAAAGCTATTGATAGATTGATTTCACTTCAGTATAAACTAAGATTTTTTGGGGAGGGGGCATGTATGTAATGTGTAGTGAGATAAGAGGCTTATTTTGGATATAACTTTAAATTCATTCACATAGGTTTTTGTGCTTTCACTTATCCCATTGTTGATTTCATTTCAATTTAGCATGCATTCAGCACCTACACTGAGAATACAGAAATGATTAAGGCCAAAAGATGTCGCAGTTTAGTGGATGAAAACAAACTCGTGCCACAGAGATGACAGATGCTCTATAAGAAGGAGAATATAAAATTTTCATGAAATAGATTTTCCTTTTTTGTTTTTCAGATGGGGTCTTATTATGTTGCCCCAGTTCATCTTGAACTCCTGGGCTCAGGTGATCCTCCTGCTTCAGCCTCCTGAGTAGCTGGAACTACAGGCATGTACCACTATGCCTGGCCTAGTATTGTTCCTTATTCATTTACGTATATTTTGTGATTATCTTATGTTATTATTTATGAGCAACTAAATCAGATCTGCAAATGGTTAAGTGATGTGCTTGCCCTCACACAGCCAGTAGGTGGCAGGGCAGGGATTACCTCCCCCCAGGAGTTGATTCTACAACAACCTAGCTCAGGCACCAGGGCAGAAAGTTTTGGGGGTTCATCTCCATCTCTGTTTTTGGCAACTGGTGTCTGCCTCTTGAAGTCAGTTGCAGCTACACAGCCTTAATTTTTTTTCATGCATTCATTTATACCATTTATACAATCCCAGCAGACCCTGGAATGAATAAATGATGAACGGTCACAAGCTGTAATTTCAGAGGATTTAGAACATAGACTGGGTAGAGCAATAAAGATCAGATGGTACTGTATTTTCTTACCTACTCCACCTGAAAGTTTTTTGAAGTCAAAGTCACAGACTATCTTTTATGATTATGAATCTGCTTATTAAAACATCGTTTTAAAAACGACTTTGAATTTCTACCTAAATAACCATCCACAAAATTCAAGCTGTCTTTAGTTTGTTAGAAAAGCACATGAAAAGACATGTGCATCTCAGATCTATGCCCCCTTATCTTTGACCCCCAAACATTATTGCTTTGAAAACGTACAACTTTGCCTTTCTCTCTAGAGCAACTCCACAGCCTGGTGCTTTCCAGTGTCATGAAGAGCCCTCCTTTATATCGGTAAATCTCAAGCATCATTCATGTGCACTTTGAAGTAGTCTCAGTGGCTAAAGAGTAAAAACATAAGTGCCTGATAGTAAGAAAGGCTTTGAACAGGAGGAGCTGTTTAGAAGCCATAGAAGCAGGAAGAATAGATGGCTTCCTGTCTGTTGGTTTAACATGCCTGAACCAGGGAGCGAGCACTCTTCAGAGGTCATTCATTCTGCCTCACGGTATCATTTTTTTAAAAAATGTTTTTATTAGTGCATTATAGTTACACGTCATAGTGGGGTTCATTTTGACACAATCATACTGCATTGAATATAATTTACTCCAATTTGGTCCCCAGTTCTTCCTTTTCTCCTTCCTCCCTCCCTCCCTCCCTCTGCTGCCCTTCCTCTCTCTACTGTCTGCCTTTTATTTATTTATTTTTAAACTGGTGCTTTTATAGCTATACATGAAGGTGAAGTTCACTGTGATATGTTCATATATGTACATGGGATAGTTTGGTCAATTTCATTCCATAGTTCCTCCCTTTTCGTGTCCCTCCTCCCCCCCCACCAATCTCCTTCTCTGCTCCATTGATTTTTCTTTTATTTTCATGGTGTCCCCCACTTTTCTTTATTTTGCTCTACTTCCACTTACGAGAGAAAACATTTGACCCTTGATTTTGTGTGTTTTATTTCACTTAGCATGATGCTCTTCATTTCCATTCATTTACCAGAAATATGCCATGATTTAATTTTTTTTTGTTTGGTACCAGGGGTTAAACTCAACCTCTGAGCCATATCCCCAACCCTAATTTTTGTATTTTTTTTTTTTTTAGAGACAGGTTCTCACTGAGTTACTTGGTGCCTCACTTTTGCTGAGGCTGGCTTTGAACTTGCAATCCTCCTGTCTCAGCCTCCTGAGCCACTGGGATTACAGGTGTGGGCCACTGAGCCCAGGTAATTTAATTCTTTATAGTTGAGTAAAACTCCATTATATGTTTATAAAACATTTTCTTTATTCATTTATCTGTTGATGGATACCTGGAATGGTTCAGTAACTTGGTTCTGAAGAATTGTGCTGCTATAAACATTGATGTGGCTGCATCCCTATAGTATGTATTTTTGGATACCAAGGAGTGAGATAACTGGGTCCTATGGTGGTTTCATTCCTAGTCTTTAGGGGAATCACCATACTGCTTTCCAAAATGGTTGTACAAATTTGCAGGCCCACATACAATGTACGAGTGTACCTTTCCTTCCACATCCTGCCCAGCATTTATTATTCATACTTTTGATGACTGCCATTCTAACTGGAGTGAGATGAAATCTCAATGTAGTTTTGATTTGTATTTCACTGATTGCTAGGGATGTTGGATATTTTTCATATATTTCTTCTTTTGAGAAATGTCTGTTTAATTCTTTGGCCCATTGATTGATTGAAATTTTTGATTTGGGGGTGTTAATCTTTTTGAGTTCTTTATGTATGCTGGTTATTTATCCCCTGTAGGAGGAGTAGCTGGTAATGATCTGTAGGAGGAGTAGCTGGTAATGATTTTTCTCACATTCTGTATGCTCACATTCTGTAGGCTCTCTCCACATGCTCTATTGTTCAGAAACTTTTAAATTTGATGCTATTGATTATTACTTATTGATTATTGCTTTTATTTCTTGAGCTTCAAGGGTCCTATTAAGGAAGTTGGTGCCTGTGCCAATATGTTAAGGGTATTGACCTGATGTTTCTTCCAGCAGTTGCTAAGTTAGTCTAATTCCTAATCTTTGATCCACTTTAACTAGTTTTGTGCAGTGTGAGATATAAGGATCTAGTTTCATTCTTCTACTTACATATATCCAGTTTTTCCAGCACCATTTTTTAAAAAGGCTATCTTTTCTCTAACGTATGTTTTGGGCACCTTTGTTGAGTATCAGGTGACTGTGTCTATGTGGGTTTGTCTCTCACAGAAACATTTTGAATATACAAGTCTCAGAGGGGATTTGCTGTTGAGCCAGAGCACTGGATAAGAACCCACTGCAAGTTACACTGCAATGGTGGTGGTAAATAAAAATGTACTGGGTGATGAGAGTTTTTACAAGGAGAAATTAATAAGAGGAAAAGCAATCAGGAAAAGAGGAGACCAGTGGAGATGGGGCAGGGGAGAAGGAGCTATCACCCCACTCCACAGCTATCACCTCAGATCTCTCCAACACCAGGACCCAGGGGTTATAACACTCCTAGAAGATGCTCTAGATTATACTATTGGCTCTTGGTCCTGGACTTCTTGCCATTGCTTGCCAGAAGACTTCTCTGATATGTAGACTTGAGGTATAGACTTGGTAAACTTGAAGATGCTGTGTTGGTTGGCTGAAGTTCAAGGACATAATGGTTAAAGTATGTCAAAGATGGTGCTTCATGTGTATATTTGATGGATAAAGATTATGATTTTGGTTTTGAACATGATAAACTTGAGAAGTTGTACCCAGGTAGAAATGTCCAATAGGCAGTTAGAAAAAAAAAAGATATGCATCTTGGGACTGGGGTTGTGGCTGGATGTGTTGCCTTAGGAATCAGCATCCTATAGAAATGGTTGAAGCTGTGGACAGATGAGAAGACTTTAATAATAATGATATCTCTTTTGCTTTGTCAGCTCTTCCATGTGGCCTATATTTTAATCAAATTTGCAAATTCTCCTCGCCCTGATCTTTGGGTCTTGGAAAGGTCTGTAGACTTTGGAAACACCTACTCACCATGGCAGTATTTTGCTCGTAAGTAATGAGTGGCTTTAATTATTTGCAACCAATCAGGACCATGGATTTACTTAGAAAATTAGTCTTGCAATGTAGCTGGGTAGTGAATGGTCAGTTTTAACCACTTAACTTATCCTCAGAATATCCCCATTTCTCAAGCATGTGTGTATGAATTCCAAGGATCCCACACACAGAGCTGAGTTTGTAACTCCTTTTATGATAACAGTTCTTGTCACTACTTTGGGGGGTACTTATTACTGAGCCAAAGAAGCTCTTTCCTCTTTATACAGAACTAGCAACTAAGTTCCATCTTTATGGATCTTGTATAGGGTATTATTTACCTTCTCTTCAAGAATGTCAGTGTCTCTGGATCCTATGACAAATTGAGGTGGGCAGGAATTTTTCCTTCAAGAGCATTGGGTTTTCCATGTAGCCTCCTTAGAGGACAAACTTGCCTTATGAAGCATGAAGCATGAAGCATGAGGAGTTAACACCACATCTCCAAACATTGCTCCTCAGAGTTTAGTGGCCTGAAACGGCTTTGTAGTTTTTTTTTTATGAATTAAAAACTTTATTCTAAGCTTTCACCTAAAAGTCTAAGACTTCTCTAATTCTTTCTCTTTTCATGTATTTTCTTAAGGAAACAAAACTTCTTAAGCAATTTACCAAAAAATGATAATACTTAATTTTATAATATTAAAATATTTTCTTCTTAGATTCTAAAAGAGACTGTTTGGAACAATTTGGGCAGCAGGCAAATAAAGCTATCACCCGGGATGATGACGTACTCTGTATTACTGAATTTTCCCGCATTGTACCTTTGGAAAATGGTGAGGTAAGTAGATGTAGGAAGCTCTGAGAGGTGGGACTCAGAAATGAACATGAGGATGTCAAATATTTCATAATCATGAAAATTTGTACTTTCAAGTAGATCTAATATAGATTAAGATGGAAACCAGTAAGTACTTCAGACTTGGTGATACAGGAATCACATGAAGGACTCCTAGAATGAGTTGGGTTGGAAATTCTGATTGGGGTCTTGAATTCTCCTGAAGGATTTGAGAATCAAGGCCCACAGGTCTTGAGCTTTTCTTTCTGGTAATATAGTTAGAAAATGGGTCACTGGTAACTGGAGTAATGACCCCTTCCACCTCTTCACACATTATCCCCAATATGAGTGAGGAGATGAAGGGTAAGGGGCAGTGCTAAGCCCTGACCCCTTTTGGCAGGGTGGACATCATCTATTGGGGAGAAAAAATGCTGTCCCTTTAGAGTTTCATTTGGTCCTTTTGTGAAATCAGCCTGGCTGTTGTTAAGGGAGGTAGGCAAACTGGTGGGGAAAATCAGAGACATCCATGGTTATGGTGAGGCCACAATGAAAATGAACTGAGTTACAAATTAACTTCCACTAAGAGTGTCATTCTTCCTCTTTGTTAAGTAGAGAGCTCTCACTTGAGCAGCTATATCCAATGTCTTCCACTTGGTGAGAAGTTTATGTTTTGAATGATGAGACATAGACTGCACCAGCTCAAGATTTAAAACAAAAACTAGGCTTTATACAGATTTTTTGTTTTTTGGTCAGTTTTTCTAACCTCATTTAGACATTTAGATTACTTCAACTTTTATCTCTTTGCTAGAGGTTGACAAAGTTATTACCTTATAATTGTAGACTTAACATTAAATCTTTAATATCTCATAGTGTTACAGTCCCACAACTATGCCGATAGAACAAAGGGTTTGAAAATGCAGTGATAACATCTCTGGAGAGCCCAAGTGTCAAGGACATACTGCCAGAAGTTGGAAGGAGGAAGAGGGAGGGAAGATGCAATTAGCAAAGATGCTCTTAGACATAAACAAGATCCAAGACCACCTACACACATCTCATGGGGCCAAACAACCAAATGCTTTGGAGTGTGTTGTTTTTAGTCACGTGCGTTAAACGTTGATGAAAGGACTTTCCTCTCCTTATCTGTGTGGTTATTTTAGGTGGTGGTGTCCTTGATAAATGGTCGTCCAGGTGCAAAAAATTTTACTTTCTCCCACACCCTCCGGGAGTTCACTAAGGCAACAAACATCCGCTTGCGCTTTCTTCGAACCAACACCCTGCTTGGACATCTCATCTCCAAAGCACAGCGGGATCCAACTGTCACTCGGAGGGTAGGTAGTGTCTCGTAGGTGGCTACTTGGCTGCTTTTGTTTTGTTACTTTTTGTTTGTTTGTTTATGAAATTAATTGCCTTAAACACTTTTAAGTAACCTTTACAGCCAGTAATTATGTGGGCATGGGAGATGTTCTTGCCTGAAATCCTAGATATCATTAGGAGTTCGGCTGTTTGAAGAAAAATAGTTATATTCAAAGAAGATGAAAGGTCAAAGATTATAGTCAGTCTGGTGTTTGTCTGAGTGGGCTAACTACTATTATAATCAATGCTCCCCAAATCCCAGAGGTGTGCCAAAGCACTGGTTTGTTTTTAGCTCATATTATAGTCCAATATGGTGGCATTGGCCCTACACAGTTGTTCAGGGCACCAGCTCTTCCTATCTAGCGATAGAGCTATCCTGTAGGACCTCAGGGTCCTCCCCTGGATCCCTTGCCCCAGGGCAGCCAATAAGGGAAGAAAGGGCATAGATAAAAGTCACCTAGCTCAGTTCCTAATCAGAGTCCTTTCCACTGGCAAGATCTGGTCATATAGCTCCATCTAGGGATTATATTATATATATAATCTAAGTGGAGTAGAGAAGAACATAGATATCTGTGAGTATTGGTACTCTGCCATGTTGGATGTCCACCCTGAACATCTCTTGTCCTCAGGTGTCAGAATGGTACAGGAGCCAGCAGAATCACTCTTCTCCCACTCTCTGGCCTCCCACAGGTGCCTCCTATTGGCCAAACCCAACAGGAAGCCAGAGAGCAAGAGATACAATGATTGCAGCCCATAATATTCAACTCCAGGGCAAAAGTCACCTGGAAAGGTGAATGTGAGATGCCGCGCACATCTTCTAAAGTTTGACTTTTTATGTTGGTAGAATCAATGACTGGAAAAGGAAGAGAAGAAAAAAAAAAGTTTTGCTCCCATTTTGAGAATTTTCCAGAAAGGCCAGACATATTGGGTATAGGTGGCCTGGCCTACCTTTTGCATTTTCTGCTCTCTTTGCTCTCTGAACCCACTGTGCAGATGGGGACTATGCAGATGAGGACTGTATTCATCCAAGGATGAATATTTACAAAGGATTTCTGGCTCCAGCTCACCAGTTTTTCCCCTCCATAAATTGTCTTTTACAAGGTTGCAAGATTTACACTCTTATCTGTGTATATATTACTTTTCAATTAGGCAAACACAGGGTTTTCTCATTAAGTAATTTTTTTTTTATGGAGCATGCCAAGTATAGAATCTTGACACACCCCTCACCCAGTGTAAGATGTTTCTGTAATGGAGAAACACCAAAAACTGTCCTGTCACACGTTTCTGTATGCTGTGGACTGAGTGCTTCCTCTCTTGCTGCTGCTGCCCTTAACACATGTGGGAAGAGAAACTTCTGTGGTGGTCAGCATAGCCTCTGGGGTTAGCTTGTCATGGAAAGCCCTGGTAGCCCTGACTTTATCCAGGGGGCTGTTAATGCCTTCACACGTAAGTCAGAGGTTACGAGTAAACTTTGACACCCGAAAAGTTTTTAATTAGGGAACCAGAAGAGAATCCCTATATCAAATTAATAGGGATCCTTAAGGCTACTACACTTAACAACAACAGAGATACAAAGATCCTCTTGTCCTTGTGAATTCAAAGACTTCCTCACTGACAGGTAATTTTCTCACTGGATGCAAGGTTCAATGAGAAAGATTGTTTCAAGTGCCACACATTCCTCCCCAGTCCTGTGCTGTCTCCTGCCAAGTCTGGGGAGGAGGGAGCTGGCAGTAGGGACCAACTATTGTTGCCGGTGGCGAGGCTTCTAACATCCTGGAGAGGTGCCTTGGCAATGAGGAGGCATATTTGCTTGGCCTAGTTTAGGGACCGATGCTCTGCTGAAGCTGGCTCTGCCTGGTCTTTGTGGAGCTTGAATCCCTCACTTTGACCAATTTGACCCTGAACTACCAAGACTCCAGCAACTGTCAGCAACTGCTGGCCCCCGGCAGCCTCAGGGCTGTGTCTGATCCATCTTTGTAAATACTCTCTTCCCTCCTGAAGCCTGGAATGGTAGTTTGCACATAATAGGTGCAACAGTTTTGGATATAAAATTTGTTTGGGGAAGAGAAATATGTTCATTATACAAAATCCAGATTTATCAACAAACAAATAAACTTGGAACCACTTAATCTTTTCCAGTAGTCTATAGAGTATGGATTCTTTTCAAAGACAATTTTCTTCCATGCATTTAAAGCACTTGATTTGTTTTTAAATGGACACATTCAGAAGAAGTTTTAAAGTTAAGAATGAGAAATGCATTCATTTGGTAAGACAAGTAATATACCAACGTGGCTTCTTTTTTTATGTGCTGAGGTAGGCTAGGAGAAGTGTGCAAGAGTAGTGGTAGAGCACTGCCTGGCATGTGTGAGGCACTGGGTTCCATTCTCAGCACCGCATGTAAATAAATAAAATAAAGCTCCATCAGCAACTAAGAAATGTTTAAGAAAAAGAGAAGTTGAACCAACACAGATATGGGATAAGTCTGTTAAGAAAACTTCATGTTTCTGTATAGTGAAACTGACCCATTCCATTTTCTGTACAGTATTATTACAGCATAAAGGATATCAGCATCGGTGGGCGGTGTGTTTGCAATGGCCACGCTGAAGTGTGCAATGCAGATAATCCTGAAAAACGGTAAGTACACGGGGCAGACTGTTTTTTTTTGCCGTGAATGAGTCTAATTGTTCCAGTGGATGTTTGCATCCCATTAACTATTTCTAGATTCCTGCCTGCAACAAGAATGTTTCAGGTTCAATAGCCTTCTACTTCCTTCCTCAGACCACCACTGGGCCCATAGCAGATGTCACTAATCGATCACAGTGCTCTCTGGATAATATGGGATGCAGCCACTAAATCCCCAAACCCAAGAAGATGTCCCAAGCAGCCATTAGTTTTCTGCCCCCTACCCCACTACAATTTGATTTTTTACATTCATTTGGTTTTTGGTTTCTGCCATGTTGGACATTTTCTACCAAGATGGAATAGGCACAGAAGGCAAGAGCACACACTGGGCCCAGCTTACTATGAACATACTCTCTTTTCAGAAAATCTTGTACAACTGCCATTAAGCAGGTGATGATTTAGTCCAATGGATTTCAGACCCACTCAATTCTGCCAAGGAGCTTAATGATGAAAATTTGGTTCTAAACCATCTCCTTTCTAAATATGTTTAAATAATCCTCCTTTCTAGTTCAAATTATATTAGAAAAAAATTAGTTGAAATAAATGTCTTCTTTTGCAGGGAGTGAGGGAAGGTACCAAAAGGACTCATACCAAAAGTAATCAATGAGGGCTGATACCAAGAGTAACCTGGAGCAATAATGAATTTTGAGTATTAATTTGAAAGACATTGTTCAAATATCTTAAATACTTAAACTGTATGGCCACTGTTTGACCATAGTGGTCACAGAAATCCAGTAATAATTGGAGTCCTCTAGAATGAGGGTTCTAGATACAGCCTGAGGAGCTCTATTGTTATTTTCATGGAATTTATCTTAGAACTTTCTCTTCTTCCTCTTCAGAAACAATTATCACTTTCATTTCCTATCTTTGCCAAACTACTTTTTTTCTCTGAAGACAATTTTTGTTGTTGTTGCTCTTTTATGCTACTTATTTGAGTGTGTAGTTGGATTCTAGTCAGCAGTCTGTTTTTAATATGCAATCGTTTCTCCAGCCTTACAAGGGAAGGTCCACTGTGAACCATTCTGAACAGAGGTGATCCTGAATGCAAACCACAGGATTTAAGCTTCCTTTCATAACCTACCTGGTGCAGTTGGGCAAGCCATTAATAAATGATAAAGTTGAAAAGAGAAGTAAGACTTCATTGTCACCTTGGGGTTACACATTTTCAAATTCTTTCTTTTTTAAATTATGCATTGCAAAATATACCATTCTTAAACCATCTTTAGGTGTGCCATTGAGTACATTCCCAGTGTTGTACAACCAATCTCTACGACTCTTTTCGTCTTGCAAAACTGAAACTTGGTGTCCATTTTCAGAACTCCCCATCTACCCTTCTGCCAGCTCTACGTTTGGTCTTATGGATTTGACCATACCAGGTACCTCAGAGAAGCGGTATCATCTAGCATTTGTCTTTTTGTAACTGGTTTAGTTCACTTCACATGTTTTCAAGTTCATCCATCTTGAGCATGTGTCAAAATTTCCTTCCCTTTTCAGGCCGAAATAATATCTATTTATATGTATAGACCACATTTTGTTTATCCATTCACCCATAAATGGACACCTAGGTTTCGTCTATCTTTTGGCGATTGGGACTAAGTCTGTGCCAATATACGTGTGCCCTATTTTTGCTTTTAAAAAACTGAGGTATATTTTATATACAATAGGATGCATTTTTTTTTGTCAGCTTTTTTTGCTGCTGTGACCAAATGACTTGACACGAACAAATTTAGAGGAGGTAAAGTTTATTGGGCATTCAGATTTTCAGAGGTCTCGGTCCATAGATGACTGACTCCATTGCTCTGGGCCTGAGATGAGGCAAAACATCATGGTGGAAAGGTGTGGAAGAGGGAAGCAGCTCAGACCATGGCAATCAGGAAGCAGAGAGAGACTCTGCTCACCAGGGACAAAATATATACTCCCAAAGGTATATCCCAGGGACCTAGCCACACTCTACTTGTCTACAGTTACCACCCAGTTAATCCTCATCAATGGATTAACTCACTGGTTAGGTTAAGACCGTCATAACCCAACCATTTCCCCTCTGACTGTCCTTGTAGAATAAAAGTTCACGCATGAGCTTTTTGGGGGTTACCTCTTATCTAAACCATAACATGCATAGATCTGAAATGTTAAATGGTCATCAATTGTACCTATTTGTGTTACTACCCCAAGAGAAAGAGCTGTAAAGGCTGGCCATTAAGCTGGTTGCTGGGTATAGTAATAATTTTCTGTGTGTCCAAGTACCTGTGAGAGATGGATTTTACTTTTAGCCAGATCCAGGCTTATGTATCTTTAGGCCTCGCTTGGTGTTCGGGCAGAGTTGCCCACTACCAGCTTGTGTGGTGTGCTGGGTGGAGCCCTTCTTCCTGACCTGCTGTAGACCCTAATGTTGCTGTCCCTCCTTCAGGGATCAAGGGTGCCGTCTGAAAAGGCCCAACCACTCAACAACCAACAATTAATTTGCAAGGACCTGTTTGTTAATGACTAATCTATCTGCACCATGTAACCTCCTGGATAGGAGGGCCCCAGGACACTAGGAGCCAGAGCAGATAAGTTTTGAGTGGGGGAGAGAAAGGTTCATTTAGTATCTCTAGGACAAAATGGTGCCCTGGGACAAAATGGTGCCATGTGAGAAAGAACTAGAAGCCACCAGGGAGGGGCTGATCTTCCTGCTTAGAAGAGCTGCCAAACCACGTTGACCCTGCCAGACCTGGAGGACTTCTGACCCAGTGGTTAATGGCTCAAGTACCCCCCTGTGCCTTGGGGAAAGCTCAGTTCACCGTCTGTCCACTCTGCCTTTTGTTTCTTTGCCTCCTGATTCGCTTCTGCCCAAAGGTTGACCTTGAACCAATGCTGATGGAAACCACACCCATGAATAGGAAAACATCTTATGGTGTGTATAAGGAGACTCAATGACTTAGTAGAGGGAATCAAAGCTGCATAATAGGTAAAGTTAGTTGCTAACCAGGCAGAAGATGGCTTTAACCAAGGATGTAGACCATGCTGAATGTTATGCATGGACAGGTGGAAGGATTACACATTCAATTCTGAGCATCCTAGCAGTCAACTAAACAAGGGAAACTTGCTCACGTTCCTATTTCACTATGACCACAATATAGAAACAGACTCTAATCAACACCATCTTTTTTTTTTTTTTTTTTTTTTTTAGACTTACATAATACCTTTATTTTTATTTACTTATTTTTATGGGGTGCTGAGGATTGAACCCAGTGCCTCACACATGTAGTGGTAGGCAAATGCTCTACCACTGAGCCACAATCCCAGCCCCTAAACATCATCTTTAAAAAAAATTTTTAAAATTTGTTTTAATTAGTTATACATGATAGTAGAATGTACTTTGATACATTATATATATAATGCAGTATAGTTTCTCATTCTTCTGGTTATACATGATGTAAAATCCCTTAGTTGTATAGTTATATATGTACATAGGGTAATAATGTCTGATTTATTTTACTATTCTTCCTACTCCCATATTCCCTCCCCTTCCTTCACTCCCCTCTACCTAATCTAAATTAACTCTATTCTTCCCTAGTTCCAACTCCATTGCAAATTAGCATCCACATATCAGAGAGAACATTCTCCAGCTCCATCCATTTACTAGCAAATGCCATAATTTGATTCTTCTTTAAGGCTGAGTAATATTCCATCACATATATATATCACATATTTTTTTATCCATTCATCTGTTGAAGGGCACCTGGGTTGGTTCCATAGTTTAGCCATTGTGAATTGAGCTGCTATAAACATTGATGTGGCTGCATCATTGTAATATGCTGATTTTAAGTCCTTTGGGTATAAACCAAGGAATGGGATAGCTGGGTCAAATGATGGTTCCATTCCAGGTTTTATGAGGAATCGCCATACCTCTTTCCATAATGGTTGCACCAATTTTCATTTCTATGAGCAATGTATGAATGTACCTTTTCCCCCACATCCTTGCCAATACTTATTGTTTTTGTATTCTTTTTTTTGGTTCTAATTAGTTATACATGACAGCAGAATGCATTTTGATTCAGTGTACATAGATGGAACACAACTTTTCATTTCTCTGGTTGTACACTAGGTAGCATTGCACCATATGTGCAGTCATACAAGTACCTAGGGTAATGGTGTCCATCTCATTCCACAATCTTTTCTATCTTTATGCTCCCCTGCCTCTCCACTCCCCTTTCCCCAAAGTTCCTCCATTCTCCCCATGCCTTTCTCATTATGGATCTGCATCCACTTATCAGAGAAAACATTTAGCCTTTGGTTTTGGAATTGGCTTACTTTGTTTAGCATGATGTTCTCCAACTCCATCCGTATACTAGCAAATGCCATAATTTTATTCTCTTTTAATGCTGAGTAATATGCCATTGTGTATAAATACCACAGTTTCTTTATCCATTCATCTACTGAAGGGCATCTAGATTGGTTCCAACACCTTTAATAACAATTTAAAGACATTTTTTCTAAATAATCTTCTGCCTGGGCTGAGAGAGTAGTTGGGGGGTGCCATATAATTCAGACAGGTTCACATACTTTTCTTTTTTTTCTTTTTGTATTTGCTGTGCTCAATTTCAATTTCCCTATGAGTATAGCTGGACCATATGTTCTTCAAGCAACTTTACTATATATTTTTCAACCCAGCATATGCCAAGTGTTTCATTGGCAATGAGGTGAAATTTCCTCTCTGACAAGATCCCATTTGGACTCCAGCTGTTATATGCCACCAGTTAAATCTACATCTGTGGCTTTCAGGCTGTTGGGCAGAAAGAGGGATGACACTTCTGCTCTTAGGAGTATGGCCAAAGACACACCATCCCACCTGCCCAAGTCCTGTTGCGGAGTCCCCACAGGCCTAGTTAAGAGCCTTCTTAGGCAACTGTTTTGAATCTTCTTTTAAGTACAGATGAACAGGAGCTCAAAGCTTGGAGCTCTGATGAAAACCAAGGCTATGACCTTGGTTTGGATTGAAATTTAAGACAGATGTTAGATTTTTCAGACTTTTCTAGCCTCATCTCTTCTAAGTGATCTCAGCTCGTGGTCTTGAGATGAGAGGGGACAGCCTGTGAGAGCAAAGGCCTTGGAGGTCTTTTTAGTAGGTGCTTCCTGGTCAGTAAATCTCTGTGTATGATCACAGGTTGAGAGTAAAAGACTCGAGTGGACTTCTCACAGGACTCCTTGGGATATTGGTGAAGATATGATAATGCATCCCAGGAATCTCAGCACTTGCTTGTTCATTTGTCCATTTACTGTGCCATGATGTGACAGAGAAGAAAGAGTCAAATTTTGGTTTGAAATCTGATCCTCCACGTATCGCTGCTTGACCTTTGGCAAGCATCTTAATACCTCTGAACCTTAGTTTTATTATCTATAAAATGTAGATAACAAGCAGGTGATGGGGGGACTTGAAATAATGTATGCAGAATGCTTTGTCCTCCTAATTACTCAGAGAATGGCCCACGGATGACCCCACAGCTCTGTCCATGTTTTGCACACAGGAACAACTGACCTTAATCAAAACTTTTCAATAACTGAGATATGCTTTAACCCCCCTGCCCAGGTTCCGGTGTGAATGCCAGCACCACACCTGTGGGGAGACCTGCAGTCACTGCTGTGTGGGCTACAATCAGAGGCGCTGGCAGCCGGCACTGTGGGAGCAGAACAATGAGTGTGAAGGTGGGTGTTGGGGTGGGACTGGGAGCCATGTCCTGCACATGGTCTTCCTGTCCTACCAGAAAACTGATGCTGTGTTCTTTTTCCCCCTGAGTTCCTGAAGAGGCTGGGATCATGTCCGTTTTAGGGACTCAGGTCTGTTACTGCTTAATAGTCATCTCTTATCCTTGGGATAAATTCCAAGATCCCCTGAAACCAGGGATAGCATTGAACCGTATGTGTACCATGTTTTTATATATATATGCCTCTGATAAGTTTATTTATAAATTAGGTCTAGTAAGATATCAATAATAACAACTAGTAATATAATAAAAGTTATAACTTACTGAATTAAAATCACTAGCATCACTACTATTGTGCTTTGGGGCTATTATTAAGTAAAATAAGTTACTGGAACACAAGCATTGTGATGCCAAGACAGTTGATCTGATAACCAAGACAGCTTCTATGTGACTAATGGGCTGGTAGCATATACAGTGTGGATACTCTGTACAAGGGAATAATTCATGTCCCAGGCAGGATGGAGCCAGACAGCATGATATTACTATTACTTAAGTATTCTATTACTTAGAATGGCATGCCATTTAAAACTTATGAATTGTTAATTTCTGGAATTTTCCATTTAATGTTTTCATACCAAGTTTGACTGCAAGTAATCCAGACTGTGGAAAATGCAACTATGGATAATAGGTCACTCTATAATGAAAAACTCACAGACTTAAGGGAAAACTATCCTACTCTGAATTAAGGTAGAAATATGAGGAGACAAATTATAATAATAATAAGCATTAATATGAATTATTATTCTTTCATATATGCCAAGACTGATCTGGCACCACTGAGAAAATGAAAATATGAAAGTGTTCAGCCTATATAAACAGGGGAACTTTTAAAATTTCTAATTCCATCTTCTTCCCTAATATGTGTGTCTGGGAACTTGATAAAAACATTCAAATAATTAGAAAATTTGATCTGCGTGGAATGTAATGAAGATATATTCTAAATCTTGGCAATGATGAAAATCCTAAATGGAATTCTAACTACATTTTATAATTATAGAAGTTTTAAATATACTTCTTGTAGATATTTTGAAATTATTTAAAAGAAGAAGGAGGAGGAGGAGAAAAATCACCAAGAGTTGGGGACAGTGGTGCACATCTGTAATCCCAGTGGCTCAGAGACTGAGGTGGGAGGATCACAAGTTCAAAGCCAGCCTTAGCAATATACTGATCTAATTACTTCCCAGGAATCCCAACTTTGACAAATAAGACTTGGGAGACATTCCAAATCCAAACCATAGCAAGATCCAAGTTAGCAAGACCCTATCTCGAAATAAAAAAGGTCTGGGATATGGCTCAGTGGTTAAGTGCCCTGGGTTCAATGCCTGGTTAAAAAAAAAATCAGTAACAGTACTAATCTCTGTGTGTGAAGCTTAATTGGCATTTTGGTGCATCTTAATTTGTTTCAAGTACATATCTTAATTTTTAAAAGAGAAACCTCTCGTTTAATATCAAATGGAAGCAGCTATAAATTTCATAGTAGTCTATTACTGGTCTATGTGTAAAAATCCCCCAAATTCTCCACTGTTTCCCTAGTGTTCCAGAATAGACTTTATTATACTCCAATGAGCACTGATACTATGTGGGAATTTCTTAGACGTCGTATAGTAATGATGGAATACTGACCTAGTGGGCTGTTTTTCAGCCTGCAACTGTCACGGCCATGCCATCGACTGTTACTATGACCCAGATGTTGAGCAGCAGCAAGCAAGCTTGAATACCCAAGGCATCTATGCAGGTGGCGGGGTCTGCATCGACTGCCAGGTAAGGCACTCTCTAAATCAAAGTGGGTGTGTCATGGTTGCGAACCAGCATTTGGTAAGTTCTGATCCCCAAAAGATGTCAAGAAAGTGATATGCCGTCAAAAGTATTTCCTAAGATTCTTTCTCCACTTTTGGCCACAAAAGACCTTATTAGGTGGATATAACTTAGAGGTTGCACAGAAAATGCTTGTTTACCCAAAAGTGTGTTTACCCAATATTGATTGGGTTTTGTATTTCAATTTAGTATGGACCATGGATCTAAAGAAAAGCAAAATCTAAAAAACTTCAAAGAAAAATAGAAGAAAAAAGTAGAAGAGAATATCTTTGTGATTCAGAGGATGAACAGACTTTTCTTAGGTCATAGAAAGCAATAACCATGAAAAATGAACAACTTGGATTTCATTAAAGTTAAAACTTTTGCTCACAAAAGACACTATTAAGAAAATGAATAGGCAAGCCGCAGAGAAGGAGAATATATTCACAAAACATACTCTGACAAATGGTTTATATATAAAGAACTCTTACACCTTAGTTATAAAAAAACAAATAACCTACAAAATATGTAAAAGATTTAAACAACGTTTTCACTCAAGTAGGCATATGCATAGCCAATTAGAGGGCTGAAAATCATTAGTCATCAGAGAGATGCAAATCAAAATTACAATAGCATACTACTGCATATGCACCTTGATGGCAATTTTTTTTTGGGAGAGGGGTTTACCCGGGATTGAACTCAGGGGCACTCAGCCACTGAGCCACATCCCCAGCCTGTTTTGTATTGTATTAGAGACAAGGTCTCACTGGAGTTGCTGAGTACCTCACTGTTATTGAGGCTGGCTTTGAACTCTAGATGCTCCTGCCTCAGTCTCCAGAGCTGCTGGGATTACAGGTGTGCACTACTGTGCCCGGCTAGGATGGCAATTCTTAACAAGGCTAATAACACTAATTTTTGGTGAAATGTGCCTATCATGCAGTGCTGATATGAATGAAAAAATGGTACAACTCTTTTGGGGAAGGTTCTACCAATTAAAGACTGAACACACACCTCTCCCCTGACAAATTCTGCTCCTAAGCATTTATCTATAAGAAATAAAAATGTTTGTTTACACATAGTTGATAACTGCTTCATGCAACTACCCCCCTCCTGCCCCCACTGGAAATAGCCTACCTGTTCATCAACAGTAGAATAGATGAACAAATTCTAGCATATTCATGCAATGGGACACTAAGGATTCATAGAGAAGAACAAACTTCTGATGCATGCAGCCACACGTGAGAATCTTAGAAACACTGAGTGAAGGTAAACTTACTAAAAAGAGTACATATAGTGTGAGTATCCTTCAAATGAAAATTTTAAACACAAATTAATCAAGAGTGAAAAAGTGAGATTTATATTTGAGGAGAGGGTGATGGAGGTTGACCGAGAAGGGACATGGGGAACTTTATGGGATGATTGTTCTATGCCTAGATAAGGAACAGAGTTTCACATTTGTGTGCCTTCTAATTTGATGAATGAACATGAAGATCTTTGTGCTTATTGTATATGTTTCACACCAAAATCCAGAAAGTATAAGCAAGGTTCTTAGGGGAAAGTGACTGGTATTTGTAACTTACTCTGAAGTGAATAAAATACGATGGATTAGTGGATGAAGAGAGGAGTAGGTAGATGGAGAATTAAGTGATAAGGCAAGTACAGTACAATAGTAATGGCACACTTCCGGTGGAAAGTATTTAAGTGTCCCCTGTAAAACTGGACATTTTTCCATAATAAAATGTTGAGGGAAAAGAGCAATGAAAGAAGACTGGAAGCACATTTTGAAATTGATTTCTTTCTCTTTAGTGAAACCTTGATGTATTTAACAGAGATTGAAGAATACTAATGTTGTTTGAAATGATGCTGGAAGATATTTTATCTTCATTAACTGAAACAAAGCTTAACCTCTTCGGTAGACACTTTTTATCTAAGTCTTAAGCTTACTCCCCAGTTGTTTGTGTCCTTGATGTATTTGATCTCACTATTTTTTTCTTTTTTTATATACCTTTATTTTATTTATTTATTTTTATGTGGTGCTGAGGATCGAACCCAGGGCCTTGCATGTACTAGGTGAGCACACTACGACTGAGCCACAATCCCAGCCCTTGGTCTCACTATTTACAAACTGTCTCCTTCACAAACAAACTCCACATGAAACTGAGAGATGGGCTCCAGAGAGCACACGGAGCACAGCTGGCTATGTTCCCTCCTGCAAGGAGCCCTACAACATGTTGGAAAAGATTCTAAAAAAAATACACCCTCCTTTTAGAATCCAAAATAGCATGAACATTAGAAAAGAGTGTCATCAACAGATCAGGAATTTCAAGAGATTCCAAAAAGTTAGAAAGCAAAAACACATACTTGCAGGGATACACAGCTGGGAATGCTAGAATGACTTAGAGAGATCCGAGAGATGACAGAAAAACATTGACTGTGGAGCAATAGTCAAACCTATCAAACATTACTGAAGTTCATAAAAGATGACCTTGATGGAGAGGCATGATGTGTTTCCAGACACTTAATACTATATATATATACACCATTTCTGTGAAACCAATCTATAAACTCAGTGTAATCACAGTAAGAATTCCAACAGAACTTTTATGAAGGTTGATAGACTGATTCTAAAGTTCTTATTGATCAAAGAATATATGAGAATAGTTTAGAAAAGATAAACAATTATGGGGAAATTAGTCTTCTGAGATGTTCAAAATATCATGAATCTGTATTATAAAGTATGACTCAATGCAGGAATAACTATTCCAATAAAACCTAATAGAAAATCTGGAAACAAATTCATGTAGATATTTATCTAAGATGAAATGGCAGTTTTAATGGAAAGGAAAGATAAACATTATAAAAATGATGTTGGGACAGTTGGTTCTCATTTGGGGGCAAATTTAACTTTGTATTATGCACATACAGAGAGACTTGGGAGCCTTGACTGGGTATGGAGAAGGAGAGAGGTGCAGCTGGGCCAGCTGACTTGGTGAGCTCCAAGGTGACCAAGTTTGGTCATGTTTACAGTGGCACAATTCACAGGAGCCAAGTTACGGAACCAGCCAAGGGGTCTGCAAACAGATGAATGAATAAAGAAAATTGTGTGTGTATGTGTGTGTGTATGTGTGTGTGTGTGTGTGTCACACACAAATACACAGACACACACAATGCAGTTTTTTTCATTCATAAAGCAGAATGAAACTTGTGAAGTGGATGAACTGGAGAGTGTGATGTTAGGTGAAATAAGTTAGACTCAGAAAGTCAAGAGTGAGATGGGATGGGGTGAGCCAAAGGAGGAGGTAGGTGGGGGATGGGCTTCCTGCCCCCAGAGATTCCATCTTCATCACCTCCACTCTTCATCTTGGAGAGTTGAGATTTTTCTCACCTTACCTTGTCATGCAAATTACATTTCAAGCATCCACTCTTTCAAGCAAGGCCCCTGCCCCAAGAACCTCTAATTTAGAAATTATGAAGTTCCCCCTGTCCTTGGTTCTTGACCTTACCTTGGTCTAACTAGGACCATGGTGTTCATGTATACAATGATGCATCTGATCCTTGGGCCTTGAAGGTCCTAGACAACCACCCAAGATTTTAAGCAAACTCTAGGCATTAGTCCATCTGCAAACTCTAGACATTATTTCTTTCTCTCTTAGCCTTTTATTATTATTCTTTGTGTTTTAAAAATATAACTTCTCCCTGGCAGATGCTTTGTGGTAGAGGGGAAAGCTTAGACTGCCCTCCTCAGACAACAAACACTTTCTCATTTTCTACTCCAATTGGAAAAAATTTGGCAGCCAAGCTTAACCGATGTTCTCTACGATAAGACACAACAGGAAGCAACAGAGTGGAGGGTTAATTGGCATTTGATGGGAAGAGAGGGTGGGCTGCAGCTGCTTCTTATTTGCCCATGATGTTTGTGCTTTTAAATGTTAAGCCAGAGAAGTGGCCAGCATGGGTTTTGACCTCAGCATTAAAGTGAATTCAGATTTTAGCCCACAGGACAAGGAGTAGTAATAAATAAAAGTCTGTAGTTAATAAAATCCTCTGAAACAGGGAAGAGAATAGAAAATGAGTCTTTGTTCTTCCCACTGTGTTTCTATGCAGACTTTTGTGTGCGTCAAAGTTTGTTATATTTGTTCCTGTTAATTTTCTATTGCCGTTCCTTTCATTAATGAAAGAACACTGTCTTCTTAATCATTTCCAAATTAGAAGCAAAATTGAGCTAGACCCATGGTGTATAGTTTTTGGAAACTGATGATGCATGTTGGGTAATTTGATTTTGTGGCAATTATAAAGATGAACCACAAGCTAGAAAAAGCCGCCTGGTATTATACTTCAAAATAAGATCTGTGCATGAGACCCATGCCTACATTTTCCATTCACATCATAGAAAGGCCTGGGAAATGGTTTCATGACTAAAGCGCGGATAAAATTAGAATGACTAAACAGAGGTCTGTATGTATATGCTATTTTTTTCCAAAATGAGAAAAGGTATAAATGAACACATGACCTTTTATTCCTTCGGTTAAACCTAAAGGTAGTTTATTATCCATTCATCAGTTCTTCTGAATGAAGCCATGGGCTAGTCCTTGAGGTTTTTTCTCACTCAAGTGTTGAGTGCTTCATTAAAGCAAATGATTTTTTTAGAGGGGAAAGGTTTGGTTGTCCAGTTCATGGAACTTTTCTCATTTCCTTTTCCACTGGGTAAAAAAAAAAACTATTATTATTATTATTACATTTAGAGCCAAGATTAAGTCAAAGTGCTTTGGCAAATCTCAGAGACCCAAGATCAAGATCAATGTTTATGTTTTTAGTGACTTTGAAATTTCAATTGAATATGACAGAATTATTTCTCTTGGTAAATAGCACAAAATCAAGAGTACTGGGCTTTTCTAGTATCTTCTAAGTGTCTTTGGTTTCTTTCTAGCACAACACAGCTGGGGTGAACTGTGAAAAGTGTGCCAAGGGTTATTACCGTCCTTATGGGGTTCCAATCGATGCCCCCCATGGCTGCATCCGTAAGTTTTATTTCAACTCTGTGTATCTTGGCCTGTGTAGACTGCTGTTAAGGAAGTGGTCCAACTCAGTTCTGATGGGTTGACAATCTTCCTTCCCTCTCTCTTCATGTTATTGTTTTTACTCTTTTCCAGCAGTTACATGATCACTTCAAGCCCTGGAACTGATAGTATATTTTGTAAGATTAAGTAAAATGGTATTAAAAGTACTTAGGAAAATATTTAACATCTGGCCTGTCACCCTAGGCTTGCAATAAATGTTAGTGTCTCCATTTTCTTTTCTTTTTTTGTACCAAGGATTGAACCCAGAATTGCTTAACCACTGAGCAAAATCCCCAGCCCCTTATATCTTTTATTTTGAGACAGGATCTTGACAAGTTGCTTAGGGCCTAGCTAAGTTGCTGAGCCTGGTCTTGAACTTGCGATTCTCCTGACTCAGCCTCCCAAGCTGCTGGGATTACAGGGATGCACCACTGCACCCAGGAGTCCCTCCATTTTTGACATATTTCTATGATCTCCAGGAATTTCAACTTTTGTCAGAAATTAACATCAAAACAACATAGCAGTGATGTCATAAGAATTTAATAAATAGTCATAGTATTTAAAATTTCTGTGACTCATGGGGCACTTGCCCTACGCAAGGCACCGCCTAAATACTGTGCTGAGGTCTTATTTAATTATTATAACAAACTTAGTACATTGTGTCATTATTCTCATTTTTAGATATGAGGAAACCAAGTGATCTGGGGAGTTGAATATTTTGGTCTGGGTGACCCAGCCACCAACTGATAGATCCAGCATATGGTTCATTTCTGCCTGGCACAACTATACCATGACACTTTTATTATACAGAAGAATGATGCTAGTTTTTCCTGATGGAATTATTGGTTTGAGGTCAGATTATGGACTTTGCCCTGTAGGCACAACCTGTAGTCTATTTGACACTGTTCTTTTACATTGTCTAGTTGTCACAGTGGAGAACAATTCCAGTCTTGAAATTGGTCTCTGTGCCTACCCACACTCCCAAATAAATTCAGTATATCATGAATATTTGAGGACATTAAAGTCCAAAGAAAAGTCTTTGTTTCTCTCTAGGGCATTCTTATGTGGGGACAAGTGCATGGAGTACTGCATACATGGCGTACGTTAAGGGCGTCTGAGTGGCAGGCCACTCCCCTCCTGCTAGGCTCGAGAGCAATAGGCCACTCCACTTGCCCCGTAGGCACAGCCCTGGGCATGAGGCCATGTGTTGCAGTTCCTGCACTTGCTCCATGGCCCACTCCTTGATTGGTCGCTGCAAGGAAGATTAGCAGACATTGCATTGGTGGCTGCTGTAATCTGCTTAGCTACTGCCTGAGTATATATACATGGTAACTGCGCAATAAAATCAGACCTGCTTCCTGCTTGGTCTCCGGAGGTCTTAATTAGCAACTCTGCAGCTACACTCTCCTCTACCCTGTTCCATGGACCTCCTCGCTGGACGAGAGAGACCCCACGCATTCTTAGTTGTTAAACAAAAGTATTTATGCTTTCTTTCCTTCTTCCCTGTGTCCTGCAAAGCATGTCCATCTCTTGTCTTATGACCACAAAGAACAGGCATCACAAAGGAAAAGAGGACATTGCGAACATAATTGCATTAGGAACCTCACTCTTAAAAACCACTATCCTAGGTTTTTTCAAAGACATCATTGAAGTGGTATTAGAAGCTTACTATAAAGGACTCATAGGACACATCTGTCATAAACAAATCAGGAAAAGGACATTAGAACATGGACTCAGATGAGCTATGACAGTATTTTTTTCCGGGTCCAGTGTTAACAACCTGCTGGATGAAGGGAAGCCCCAAGCAGTAGATTGTATCAGACCTCTTATACTCCAACTGTGTCCTTTTGAAATGCAAGCTACTAATCATCTTTGTTAGCAAACTCTGCCTTCAGCATGCCATATCACTCCATCTAATACTAGAGATTATTATGGGCATCATCTTATGGCCACACACTATCTATCCATGTCTAGGCACCTACACTTGTGTGCACATCACAACTGGATACTGATGGCCACTTTGTGCTATTCATGGTTGGCTTATTGTGCCCAACAGACTTGCTAGAACCCACAGAACAGCCCACCCAGCCAGTCCCCCTGATTGTGGTGTGTGCAGGCTTTGCCCCTTGCTCAGTGACCTGGGCAATGCTCAGTGGAATAACTGACTTCTTGAGAGCTTCTCAGTGAGGGTGCTCATGACAGCTGTTCTCAGATGGCCCATAATGTTGACTCAGTGAGAACCACCAATGAGGTCTGAAGTGGGACATAGACTGTGCCCTTTCAAGGGTAACTCTAGACCACTGACCACCTGCAAAACATTGCTGGGAGCTATGGAGACATACTTGCGATATGAAGTGTAGTGAAGGACTGATCCTCTGGAATCTGTTATTTCTCTTAGCTTGCAGCTGCAACCCTGAGCATGCAGATGACTGTGAGCAGGGCTCAGGCCACTGTCATTGCAAACCAAATTTCCATGGAGACTACTGTGAGAAGTGTGCCGCTGGTTACTATAACTTCCCATTTTGCTTGAGTGAGTACCTGGAGAGGCCAGCCTTTCTGGCCCATTGCTGGCCTTTGTGCAGTAACACCTGTGGGTAGTGGGATGGGGGCGGGGAGAGGGACAGAAATGGAGCCAGGTAGATTGTATTTACGTGAAAGTGTTCCCCAAGGTTTGGAACATAAGCTTTATAATTCTAGTCCTATTTAACTCTAAGATATTATAATATAGCAACAGACACAGCCATTTCCATAGGTCAAATATTGGGAACTTCAACTTAGTATTAATCCTTGTGTGTGACTTTTCTTGTTAAATCTAGAAGATATGTCATGAGCTTCCAGATGTTCGTTTCCATATAGTATGTGTCATATTTTGGGAGCCAGGGAGTTGTAGTTCCTCTTTACTGCTATAGAACAGGCCATTTATCAGGGCACCTACCTCCACCCTGCAGCATCTTTGTGAGAAAAGACATCAGAGATTCTGTAGACCGTGAAGAAGAGGAGTATGAAATGGGCTATGCAAACTGTGACAGAGTATCCGTTCTGTTGGTTTGCAACAATGCAAAAATCTGCACTTTTCAGTTTGAACAAAGAAACACCATCTCAAGAAGAGCCCCCACCCCCACACCATTGGTTGTAACTCCATCCCGGCGCTCATGACTCCTGTGGATCTGACACAGGAAAAGTTTGCTGAAGCATGAGGCAGGACACATGAAGGAAGTGACTCTAGGTTTCAGTTAACACCTGCTGTCCCAGGACAGTTATTAAAATAGCACCCACTTTCACTGTGGAGGTTATCCTAGTTTGGATGATAAAATATATTTAAAGGAAGCAAAGTCTTAAGTCTAAATACAATGGTCCCACATCAGGAGCTTATCAATTTACAGTCTGATTATTGAATAGAAGCAGGGCAGAAATTTTCCTGGTCTTTAATGGAAAGAAAAAAAGGGAGAAGGAGAAATCTGAATCACTTTTATGGTCTAAACAAAATTCCAGGGCAAGAAATTTGAAAGAAAACACTTAAAAAAAAAAAAGCTAGTCTCAATCTTACTTTAAAATAACCACTAAAAAAAGAAAAGAAAAGCCACATTTGTCCCTGTTTAGTCTGAGACTGAACTATTATGAGCACAAAACATCTATCTCTGTTCTTTAATCTACAAATGAGAATGTCTGATCAGGGAATTTTCAGTCACCAGGCACATGTAAACTAGAGCAGTATTGCCTTTCTTCAAATTCCTTTCTATGTGTTACTTTCACTAAGTGAGACAGGGCTTCTTCCTACTTAGCACAACTTAATGTTTTACTTTACCATCTCCTTAATCATTCTTTATGTATTTTTATAGGAATCCCTGCTTCTCCTGTTTCTACTCCAAGTCTAGAAGATCCAGAAGCTGGAAATATAGAAGGCAAGTAACCTCTCCTTTGATTTAACATCAATAAAAATGGTATGCTTTATTATCTTTTCCATCTTCCTCTGCACTCCACCAAGCCCAAGTTCAGGTCAGGGACCTTGTCCTAATCGACCTGCTCCCTACCTACCACTCTCTACTTCATCCTGTCTTTAGCTGTGGCACTGCCTGATTAAGGAAACTGAACAGGGCTTGAATTAGATATTACTAGCTTGCTCAAAACGCTGCTGTGGCAGCCAGTTGTCTATACTTGTTTGGGTTCTCCAAAAGCAGATCCTGACAAGGGAATTGAGTGTAAGTCGTTTATTTTGGGAGATGATCCCAGGAAATACTAGGAAGGGTGTAGGTCAGGGAGTGGAGGGAGCCATTGTAAAGGTGCATTAGTCAGCAAGGGTAGTGGTGGCACCCAGAGTGGCATCCCTCTAAACAACTCCAGGAGACAAAGTGCTACCTGCTCAGGTCAATCCCTGTGAAGCAGTCTGCAGCCAGTAGGGGCCTGCCTTGGGCACTTAGAGAAGGCCTGCAGGAAGGCTGGGGAGCCTCTACAGCTAGGAAAAAGCCCCTAGTCTGAGAGTAGCAGGAATGTACAGTAGAGAGATGAGGACCCAGAAATTGTGGTGCTATATCTACCTGATTACTTGTTCTGCAAGTATTTTGAGATGCCCAACATTGTGCAAAGCATCAATTTGGCTGCTGGGGATTTAACAGTAAAAAGGAAAAAAAATTCCAGTTTTCCTGGAGTGAATAATACGCACACACACACACACACACACACACACAGGATTG